GCTCAAATTGGTGGGGGGAAAAAAAGAAAAACAAAAAAAGAGAAAGCAGCACAGTGGTACGGAATAAGAGAACCCCGGGTTTGCGTTCAGGTACTGCCGTGAAGCTGGGTGCTTTTGGGTGAGTCATGAAATCTCTCCATACCTCAGTTTGCTTAGCTGAAAAATGGACCTAATAAGTAAAGTATACAGGACTGTTCGGAGGGTAAAAGTATAAAAATGTTCGTCAAACACCAAGCACACAGCAAAGGGAGACCAAAGGGTGGTCCCCTCACCAAACAGACGAGGGAGGGGACAGGTGGGGAGTGGGGACAGGCCAACAGGACGGATGCTTTGAGTCAGGGCAGCGACCCCACAGACCTCACGTCACACCAAGCCAGGCCATCGTTTCTGCGTAAGTGGAGGCAAACAGAAATGGGACTTGGAACAGAGAAACAGAGCCCCGCCAAAGGGCCAGAGAAAAGGGGAATCCAGCTTGTATCATACGAAGTGAGCCCATGTCCACCTCCCGCACGGGAACAAGCCGCATTGAACGAGTCGCTTCGCCTTTGGCTTTCGCTGCGCTGTGACTTTAATCGACCTCTACGCTTCGCAGTCTTACAAGGTTCTATTTCCCTGTCTCCATCTATTATTGAAACTAGAAGCTGTTCTCCCAGAGTGTAATCAAATCCTGCTAAAAGGCAAAAAAAACTCCAGTATTCATTCACATCTTATACCAGAAGAAAAGAAAAATAATGAGAAGAGAGTCCTAAAAATACTTACGGGCAAAAAAAGAAAATGGAAAAAATTCAACCCTTAATCCCAAACTCCTTCTCCTTCAAATGAGTGACTTAGCTTAACAGTATTCACAGTAATACAGGTTGACGATCCGAATGGCCAGCTCTTCCCAATGTAAAAATCCGAAATCCAAACGCTCCAAAGAGCATCTCCTTTAAACAACATGTCAGCACTCAAAAAGTCTTCGATTTTGGTGCATTTCAGATTTCAGATTTTTAGATAAGAGATGCTCAACTGGTAAGTATAATGCAAATGTTCCGAAATCCAAATGTGCATGGATTTCTCCCACAAACAAGCAGGCAATCAATCGATTCTGTAGCACAGCGGTCCCCAACCTTTTTGGCAACGGGGACTGGTTTCACAGAAAACAATTTTTCCACAGACTGGGGCGGGGGGTAGAGATGGTTCCAGGATGATTCGAGTGCATTACATTTATTGTGTCTTTATTTCTATTATTATTACATTGGAGTATATAATGAAATAATCATACAACTCACCATAATGCAGAACCAGTGGGAGCCCTGAGCTTATCTTCCCACAACTAGAATCTAGCTTAATTGTCACTTGCCACTCACTGATAGGGTTTCGATATGAGTCTGCAAGCAATTGATTTATTATGGTCTCTGTGCAGTCAAACCTCTCTGCTAATGCTAATTTGTATTTGCTAATGTGTATTTGCAGCCGCTCCCCAGCACTAGCATCACCGCCTCAGCTCCACCTCAGATCATCAGGCATTAGATTCTCATAAGGAGCTGCAACCTAGATCCCTCGCATGCACAGTTTACAGCAGGGTTCACGCTCCTGTGAGAATCTAATGCCGCCACTGATCTGACAGGAGGTGGAGCTCAGACGGTGATGCAAGGCATCGGGAGCGGCTGTAAATATAGATGAAGCTTCGTGTCGCTCACCTGCAGCTCACCTCCTGCTATATGGCCTGGTTCCTAATAGGCCACAGACAGGTAACTGGTCTGTGGCCTGGGGGCTGGGGACTGCAGCTGTAGCTGACACCAGCTGGCTGTCCTCCTATTCAATTCCAACACCATCTGCCTGGAGAGGGCATCAGATCCCACAGGGTGAGGGCTCAGTTTTACAAGACCACCCCCCCCACTTGTGATGCCAATCAATGAAAAGCCCCAGGTTGTTTTACCTGTGTTTTACCTGTACTTCTGACCGAACAGCTTTAAATGGGGGATCTCGTGACACCCTCCTTGGGTTCGATTAATTTGCTAAAGCAACTCACAGAACTCAAGGAAACATTTACCTAGGTCTTCTGGTTTATTATAAAGGATATTACAAAGGACACAGATGAAGAGATGCATAGGCCAAGGTATGAGAAGGGGCGTGGAGCTTTCATGCCCTCTCCGGGTATTTCACCTTCCAGAAACCTCCACATGTTCACTATCCAGAAGTTCCCCGAACCCCATCCTCTTGGGCCTTTCATGGAGACTTCACAGGATAGGCATGACTGAAACATGGACAACCATGTAGAAACGTGACTGGACAGAAAGGGTGTGACCTAACACTGATCGACTGAGTGGGGAAACCCAGCAAGGCCTGTCTGTTCAGATCCTTCTTGGCCTCTGTGTGCAGCGTCCTGCCTCCAGGGCACGGGGCAAGACCCTCTCTGAAATGGGGGTCTCGTGACCTACAATCAGACAAGGTAGGTCATGAAAAGGCGGAGTCCTGCCCTGGGGAGAAAAAAGAAGCAGGTGAAAGAAGGGCACGAAAAGGACAGGAAAAGGCCAGGGGGCGTCTGTTTTCTGAGTCTGCTTCTGAGTCCTAAAGCGCCCAACATTGTAACGAAAGACTGGAGCGAGGGCTGTGGGAGTCATAAGCCAGGAACCACGGATGAAAACCTATATAAATGCATCACGACATCACAGCAGGGGTGTGACCATGCTAGCAGGAACTCTCGCACACTGACAGAGGGGTCGTAAATAGGAACTTTTACTTTATGTGGCAACTCAGTAAAGTTGAAGACGCCATACGCTAAAACTCGGCAACTTCACACTTCCACGCTGACCTTAAGGAAACGTTTATGTAATGGACCTCGGAACTGATCACGGATGGCTGCTAACATCACAGAGAGAGACAGCAGACACCATGGGTCTCCTGACAGAAAACACCACCCCGACAACGGAGTCACGTCACCAGCAAAACTAGACCCGAGGCCGGGTGCAGTGGCTCACGCCTGTAATCCTAGCACTCTGGGAGGCTGAGGCAGGCGGATTGTTTGAGCTCAGGAGTTCGAGACCAGCCTGAGCAAGAGCGAGACCCCGTCTCTACTAAAAATAGAAAGAAATTAGCTGGACAACTAAAAATATATGGAAAAAATTAGCCGGGCATGGTGGCGCATGCCTGTAGTCCCAGCTACTCGGGAAGCTGAGGCAGAAGGATCGCTTGAGCCCAGGAGTTTGAGGTTGCTGTGAGCTAGGCCGACGCCACGGCACTCACTCTAGCCTGGGCAAAAGAGTGAGACTCTGTCTCAAAAAAAAAAAAAAACTAGACCTGAATCCAACTCTCTAGATCCAGAAGCCAATTTAAGGAAATACAGGAAATGGCGGAGCACATCAGATAACACTACAGAAACACAATCTGCAAAATTCAAGTGGTGAAAAACTTCATAAGCCAAACTCTGGGTCTTTAATAAATAAAGTGTAAGAAAATGAGAGAGATGAGGGAGGACTCTATAGATGAAAAGAAATGTAAGATAGAAAAGTCAAATTCATGGAGACAGAAAGTCTTCATAGAACAGTGGTTTCCAAGGCAGGGAGGACTCGGGAGTCAGCATTTAACGGGGATGGAGTTTCAGGTGGGGAAGGGAACAAGTTCTGCAGATGGATGCTCGTGACAGTTGCACAACACGTGAATGGACATGATGCCACTGAACTGTACACTTAAAGACAGTTAAAATGGTTTAATTATATATATGTATTACCATAATTTTTTAGGTTTAAAGAAGAAAAAACATAGAGACACGCCAGCCAGTTATAATGTGTGGATCTCATGGATCCTGAATCAAAAAAACTATAAAAAGTTAGGAGACAATTAGAAACTTGAACACTGATATTTGATGATATAAAGGGATTATTGGTAATGGGGGCGATAATGATATTGTATTTATGTTTTCTTATTTTTAGAGATAAATACTAAGATGTCTATAGATGAAATAACATACAGTGTTTGAGTCAAATGATACAGAAAGGAGAAAGCAGATACAGATAAATTGAAACAAGATTGGCCACGAGTGGTTCAACTTGACAATGGACGCGTAAGAACACATTATACTTATCTGCCTAACCTTTGGGTACTTAACATTTTACATAATAATGAAGTCTTAAAATGAAGAAGTTACTATACTCACGCACAAAAGGACAAGTGTTAGATGCTCAAAGCATCATGGCTTATAATAGCAAAACACTAGAAACATCTTAAATGTCTACAAACACAAGAAAGAATCGAAAATATTGTGGTATTTCGTTCAACATAGAACCACAGAGCTAAGAAAGTGAGTGAACTCGATCAGTGGGTCTCGACCAGGGATGATTTCACCTAGCTCTGAAAACCAAGCAACATTTGGCCTTGTCCAGAAACATTTGTGGTTGTCACATCTGGGGCGGGTGTGTAAAGCAACTGGCCTATAGTAGGTAGAAAGCAGGGACGTTGATAAACATCCCACAATGCTCAGAACAGCCACCACAACAAAGAATTACACAACCCAAAATATCAACAGTGCCATGGCTGAAAAACCCTGTACCATCTATGTGGGATACTCCTCAAGCCGTAACACTGAATTAAAAACAAGCGGCAAACAGATATATACAAGTAATGTCATGCAGGTAAAAGTTACGGACTCAAAACCAAGCCTGTTTATTGCTCATATAAATTTAACCACACAGTGAAATACGAAAATCTGGAGGGGAGGCTACGTGCCAACTTCAGAATATGGATTACTAGAGGGAGAACCACGAAATGTCACTTGGCAGAATTTGTAACATTTTGTTTCTTCTGCCCCCTCCCACCTTGAAAAAAGCAAACGCGGCAGAGGTTAACGTAGGTAAATCAGGTCAGCGGGGACACAGATGCTCACTCTTTTAATCCCGGTGCTTCTCCTTGCCCTGGACATCACTAACAGTGACCCAGCTAAGCAGCGGGGCTGTGGGCAGCAGAGGCTGCGTGGGCAGGGAGGAGGCGGCAAGGCCGAGGCCTTCCTGTAGGACACTTACCGGCCCCCGGAGATCGATGAGCTCCTGCCTCATCTGGGACACGAGGGCCTCCTTGGCCACCAGGGCCCTGTGCAGGCGCTCGTTGAACTCGATCAGCTCGCCGTGCATCTCCGCCACCTGGAACAAAAGTACCACAGCGTGAGGGGTGGAGGCAGACCCGCCCCAGTGACTTGTCCAGCCTTCCCTGACCCTCTTTCCTGCCGCGTGTCAGCAAGGCACGGGCAGGCTGCTGGGGTTAGAGCCGACAACACTGCTTACCTATGAGCCAAGCAAATCCACCCATACGTTGAATTCGTTTTGACTTGCTTGGCTTTAAGATTTCAGAGTCAACAAGCCACAGTGTATGGTCAGAGTAGGAATGTATCAGATCATGTTTAGACCTCAGGCTTTGAATCTTGATAAATGAACACTTTCCTAGAAAAGGTTTTCTTTCTGATCGAGTTGCGCCTGTCAAGAATTTCCCTGCTAATAGCACCATGAAAATAACTCTGACCGTTCTGTTCATCAGGTCCTTGGTCCTGAAAACCAAGAAAACAGAACCAGAGCCTTATCAAGGCTAGTGACAGTGGTGACAGACAAAACCACAGCATCTCAAGTACCCTTCACTGTTCAGGATAAACGCCTCCCATGCCCTCTGCATAGCTGCATCACACCAGTGCTCTGAGGCAGACGTTATTATACCCACTTTGCAGAAAGAAAAACAGCATGTTAGAATTTAAGGAGCTTGCTCAGGGTTATACCACGAACAACGCACAGACCCTGGAGCCCTGGCCACGTGCTGGGATCCTCCCATTCCACTGTGCCCAGATGCAACCCATTCAGGCCTACGGTGAGCCGCTGGATTTTTCCAAATCGGATTATGCAATACTCACAGCTGATCCTGATTAAATTTTAAAAATGGATGTGGCTACAGGTAGTCTATAACCAGCATACAGACTATTCAACTGTAACTTATTTAAACAATTTAGAGAAATGTGAGATCCGCTATATCCTCCAAGAACCCTGAATGAAGAATCTTGTAAGCATCTTAAAGAGAAGCCCCCAGAATGTGAGGTCAGGCAGACCCTCACCCTGCCTAACCCTCTGTCCTTCCTGAGCGATGGCCCTATAGTCT